TGTTTGTTTCCTGCTCAGGAGGCCTCAAAGTTTCCACAGCAGAAATAAGACGAGCTAAAGTTGAAGCGCATGTGTACGACAGGATGCGTCTGCGAGGTGTGAGTGCTGCTGCAGGACTGCTTTATGGGTAATTGAGATTACATTAATGCATGTGTCCCTCCTGAGGAGAAAGTGCAAGTCTTTTCCTTTTGGACAGGATGTGGCTTTGGGCAGTTAGGAAGGGTGGGCGTCGCTCCTGGGCTCCAGAGCCCTCAGCTGAATCTCAGCCCCTGCAGGCTGATTCTGCAGACCGCTCGTGGCAGTTTAGACTAAGCAGAAAGAAAAACTGGCTTTCTTTTTCTTTTCTTTTTTTAATCGTGAAAATCACATCTGTACACGTAGAGCACGAAGCAGCGAGCTAATGCCAGAGCAGTCTCAACAAAAACATCCAAATGTTTCCTCATATGTTGTTTTTCCTCTGAACCTACTGTAAGATCCTTCCAGATGATTATAAAAACACAAACAGCTAGCAGCAATTCTATTAATGCTGTCGTCCTATCACACAGGAACCAAGAGCGTTCCTTTTTTTCCTTGTGTGTTTTGTATTTTTCCCCCCTCTAAACAATGATTTTCAGAACTGGAGCCGCCGCCAATAAAATTAATGGGAGACTTTCTGAGTCCATACAGGAAGTGGGCTTTTTAAATAAACACATTGTTTCCAAACTAATCCACACCCCTATTGTTTACAGACGGGGAACTGGGCTGGGTGCAGACCGAGCCGGTCCACCCGATTAACCCCTCCCCCCCTGCTGTCAAGGCCACTCCATTTCTAAACAAGAGGAAAAAGATAAAACTGTCAAGCTTCACTTTGATGTTATTTCTGGTCAGCGTTAGACTTTTTTTAATGTTTGTCCTCTAAGTTTAATCATAAAACTAATGTTAATATTCTCTTTTTGTGTAATAAAAGAAAGGCCTTCTACTATACACAACTAATATGACAACCCAGTCTCACGGCCTTTCGTGTAATAGTCACGAAATACATTTTATCTATTGATTCGTGTTCACGAACACGATTTTCCCCTTTTTGTCGTGTCACACAGAACGATTTTAAAAGCAATGTATTTCTATTGGTAGTATGTTTCGTGCCTGCAACACGTCTTTTTGTCCGGTCGGGTTTTGGAAGACCAGAAGCTGTGTGGTTCATAAAAACATTTTCCTACTCAATATCAAGCCACGATTATTGTTAATATTTTAAATTGTATAATGTCGGACTTTTTTGCCGTCCGGGAGGAAAATAAATGGGGCTCAGAGCCTCAGAATCTGTATTTTTTTAAATCTTTCTTTCCTTCTAATTTGTTTTTATTTACATTGCTTAAAATTGTTCTGTCTGACATGGAAAAAAATGGGGAAATCGTGTTGGTGAATCATTCATTTCGTGACTATAACAAGAAACAACCCAGTCTCATGGCATTTCGTGTTCACCAACACGATTTTTAATCTATTGATTCGTGTTCACCAACACGATTTTCCCCTTTTTTCTGAAATCAAAAAAATGATCCATGCTTCGCGATAATAGCCGTAGCCTACGGTACAGAGTTTAGCTAGTGTTGTCTATGGTTGTCACTCAGTCATCAGTTTCTATAGACTATCTGGATGTAGTTATTGCGTAATAATTATTGTGTTCCCACGAATTACTAATGCGTGGGAACATAATAACTAATTCGTGGCCACGCATTATTAATACGTGGCCACGTATTAATATTTTTCTCACCAATGTCACCAGGGGGGCTCCGTAGTTTCGTCTCTGCAGCACGTCTTTTTTTCCGGTCGGGTCGTGGAAGACCGGAAGGTGTGTGGTTCATAAAAACATGTTCTTACTCAATATCAATCCACAATTATTGCTTTTATTTTAAATCGTATAATTTCGGACTTTTGTTGCCGTCTGTGAGGAAAATAAATGTGGCTCAGAGCGTCAGAATACTGAAATCTGTATTTTTTAAATCTTTTTTTCCTTCTAATTTGTTATTCTTTTCAAAATAACACTCTTATTTACTCACCAATAACACACAATTATCCTTGCTTTTATTTATTGGTTTAATTTCATAATCTCGTGCTTTTTTGGCGTCCGTCAGGAACTGAATTTCAAAATAAAAATAACCGGAAACAGACGTAGGCATTTCGAGCGATTACCCAAGATCCTCAGCTATGGTTTAAGCTTGCTGATTGGATGTATTAGCCACAATGCATGCTGGGATTTGGTGTTTATATGATATGAAATCCGGAAAACATTTTAAAAGAATAAAATAATACTTAATTCCGAGTGTTCTTGCTTTTCTCTTTGAAAGTCATCACATAACGGCATTGTAATACACGGTTCGGCTGCATTACATATTACAGATCTGCCGTAGTTCTTTATTTATAGAGCCCTGATGAGAAGACCTTTGGAAAAACTGAAGAAATGCCGCCGAAACTGAATACTTGACGTGGATCATAAATATATCAACAATTAAACAACATCTTCAATTTCTCTTCACACAATACGTCTCCTTGCAGTAAACACTAATTCGGCTGACTTTTACATTTGATCTAATTCATAGATAGGTTATATTTACACCATAACGGTGCACAGCTTATATAAAAGGACTTGTAGTTTTTAAAGATATTACTGATTTTCTTTGAATATAAGAATGTAAATACTGAGTCTGAAATAGTAGCTATAGCAATATGCTGTAAAATGATGTGAAAGCATGAATAAAACTACACATCTTCAGATGTTGTACATACATAAGTGTCCAACTCTTCTTCTTCTTCTTCTTCTTCTTCTTCTTCTTCTTCTTCTTCTTCTTCTTCTTCTTCTTCTTCTTCTTCTTCTTCTTCTTCTTCTTTAGTGTTTATTGGCGGTTGGCAAACCAACTTGTACAGTAGGTGCATTACCGCCACCAACTGGACTGGAGTGTGGAAAAGAGACTATGCAGAAAACAATAAACAAAACAAACAAAACAAAACAAAGAACCAAAACTATAGGTTACTTACGTAACCCCAGTTCTCAGAGTAACATGAAGTGAGATGTCTCACTATGGGATGCGCCTCAACGCGTATGCAAACAGAAGCATCAATCTCATTACGCCAATCCTGATTGGCTGGTGATCTTGACGTCAACGTCAGGGAATCCACCCACCCTTTAAGTAGCTTGCGCTACGACGCAGCGTCATTCAAAATAAGCACCTCTTCTCGCTTCGCCTTAGCAAGAAGGGCCGTCTGGTGAGACATCTCACTTCATGTTACTCTGAGAACTGGGGTTACGTAAGTAACCTATAGTTTTCATTCATAACACTCCGTTCGATGTCTCACTATGGGATATTGAAACTCCCGTATTGCTATATGCTTATCTCGAAAATCACCAAAACAACCAGAACTTAACAGGTAGAAAGAACCCTGTCTCAACAGGGGGCCCAGCACTGCGCGGGCCACACTTGGAGCAGAGACATCTAGCCTGTAAAAGCGGACAAAAGTGAGCGGCGAGGACCAGCTCGCTGCTGCACAAATGTCTTGGATGGAAACACCCTTGAACAAAGCCCAGGATGTAGCCAGTCCACGAGTAGAATGAGCACGCAGGCCCGTTGGTGCCTGCAAACCCTGACTCGTATAAGCCAGAGCAATCGCTTCCACAATCCAGTGGGAGAGCCGTTGCCTGGTAACGGGCTTGCCCTTCTAAGGGTTAGCCCAGGATATAAAGAGTTGGTCACTACAACGAAACTCTTTTGACCTGTCCATATAGATGCGTAAAGCACGAACTGGACACAGCAAATTCGGCCGTTGTTCCTCAGAGGAACACAGCGGCGGAGGAAATGCCACAATGTCAATGAGCCAACCACCTTAGGTATAAAGGCAGGGTTGGGCTTCAGCAACACTCTCGTTTGCCCCGGGGCAAACTGAGTGCATGAAGGATGTACAGAGAGCGCATGAATGTCACTGACTCGCTTGGCAGATGCCAGAGCCAGTAACAGCACTGTCTTCAGTGACAGGTGTTTCATGTCAGCTTCTTCCAGGGGTTCAAATGGAGGTCGAGTGAGCCCATCTAAAACCACTGCCAAGTCCCATAAGGGCACCAGTGACCTGGAAACAGGGAGGAGCCTGCGAGCCCCTTTCATAAAACGGCAGACCAAAATATGTTGGCTAGCCGTCTTTCCCTCAAAGCCCACATGGCATGCAGCAATAGCAGCCAGGTACACTTTGATCGTAGAGAAAGCTCTGTGTTTATCAATTAGGCCTAAGTCCTGTAGAAATGATAAAATCACCCCAACAGGACATTGAAAAGAGATGTGTCCTTTTTGAAGGCACCACTCCTCAAACACCCTCCACTTACAGTCATAGAGAGATCTGGTGGAGGAAGCTCTCGCAGTCTGAATAGTGTTTATCACCTTCTGAGGGAGTCCCACTGTATTCAGGTTATACCACTCACGGGCCAGGCCCATAGTGCCAAGCGCTCTGGGTGTGGGTGAAAGATCGTCCCCCCCGCCTGAGACAGTATGTCCCTGTGTAGTGGGAGCTGCCACGGCTGCCCGCACAGCAGCTGATATATCTCCGCCAGCCAGTACATTGCAGGCCAGTGCGGAGCTATCAGGATAAGTGTGTGGCGTTCTTGTGTTGATTAGATAGATACACACTCCTACCACAAGGTGTCGCCACATAGTTGTGACCTATGTTTAAATCCACATGTACAGTAAGGGACCCGAACAAGAGCTCTTGATTAAACTTGGCTAACACTTTAGCATGGAGCACGAGTCAGTTCATTAATAGACCAACAAACAAAACATGGTACCAGGAGTAAATTATGAAGTAAAATAAAAACACATTAAGTGAGGAGTTGTGACAAGCGACATGGATTCATTAAAGCCACCGGAGACGCTAAAACTTTCGGGAAATGTCGACAGCAACTGGCGGACCTTCAAGCAGCAGTTCAAGCTTTACATCACGGCCATGGGACTGGAAACTAAGCCGGATGCTAGGAAGGCAAACTGGATAAAGTGCTCGAGAAATGTGATGCCCACTGCTCTCCCAGAAAGAACGAAACATACGAGAGATATGTATTCCGTTCACGTGTGCAGCAGCATGAGCCTTTTGATAGCTTTCTGACTGACCTGAAGCTAAAAGCACAGTCATGCAACTTTGCTACGCTGAGGGACTCCATGATACGGGACTGATTGATTGATTGATTGAAAAGTGTATTAACAGCTTGTATATTGGGTACAGTACACTACAGCTCAAAACATACAATTGTTAAGGGGATGCTCTCCCCCGAAGGTGCTCTTTAAGAGAGGTTTTGAAGGTAAGTATAGTTTTACTTTCCTTTACAGTTGTGGGAAGAGCGTTTCACCTTGATGTGGCATAATTGCGAAACGTGTATTCCCCCTTTTTTGTGCCAAATCTGGGTTTCACATGATTTGTGGAGCTCCCTCTGGTGTTATGATCATGGTATTCCTTGACCTTTGGGAAGAATTTTGACATGTACATGGGTACCATAGAGGTGTAGTGGATCTTGTAGACCAGGCCCATTGCAAGTAGCTGTACTCTGTCGTCTACTCTAAGCCATCCTAGGTTGTCAAAGTGGGCAGAGGTGAGGTGGGTTCTAGATGAAAGGTCAAGCAGTAGTCTGACCAGTTTATTTTGCGATGTTTGAAGTTTTATTTTTAGCGCCTTGGAGGTGCTATGGTACCATGACGTGCAAGCATAGTCATAGTACCCTTGAATGAGTGCTACTGCCAGAGTTTTCAGGGTGTTTTTGTTTACCAGAGAGGAGATCCGGTATAGGAATCTAGTTCTTTGATTGACTTTTTTTATTACATTGGATGCCATTTTGTCACAGGAGAGGTTTGCCTCAAGAATAGATCCTAGGTATGTAATTTCCTTCTTACTTGTGACAATAATGTCGCCCACTGCAACTGAGAAGTCGTCGGATTTGCTGAGATTATGTTTCGAACCGAAGAGAAGAGGACCAGATCGTTTTTGGCGTGGAGGAGGATAAAAAGGTCAGAGAAAGGCTGCTAAGGGAAACGGAGCTGACATGTGAAGCAGCTACAAAAATCTGCCATGCAAGCGAGCTGTCCCAAATGCACGTCAGGACTTTCAGCGAGATGGCGGGCGCGGCTAACGTGAGTGATGGCGCAGCAGTTGGTGCGGTCTCCAGCCAAGGCAAATGGCGCGCACAGACGCGGTCAACACAGCGGTCGGAAGAAGGGACATTCAGCTGTAAGCGCTGCGGCTCGAAGCACAAACCACAACAGTGTCCGGCATTTGGTAAGCAATGCTCTAATTGCCAGGGCCAGAACCATTTTGCTAAGCAGTGCTTCTCAAAAGGAAATGAGAGGAAGAAAGGAAAGTCTGTAAACATAGTGGAAGACGATGATTTAAGTGAGACATTTTTTGTTGGCATGGTGAACTGTGAAACTGAGCAAAAAGAGGTTAATGCAATCAGAGAAGACAAATGGATAGCTCCACTGATGATTAACGGGACAATAATAACTATGAAACTGGATACTGGTGCAAAAGCAAACCTGATGAGCCTGTCTGACATCAAGGCAATGAAAGATAAGCCACAAATTAAAAAAAGAACACAGGCACTAAAAGATTATAATGGAAAGAAAATCAACAGTTTGGGCGTGTGCATATTAAAGGTAACCTCAAAAGGTAAAGTGCACCACCTACTTTTCTCTGTTGTCGCTGATGGACTTGATTCACTGCTGAGTGATAAAGCATGTGAAGATTTGGAACTTGTCAAGAGAGTGTATTGCATCAACACAACTGTGAGTACACCAAATGACTCAATTAATTGTATAGTACAGAGTTATGCAGATGTATTTAAGGGTTTTGGTGTGTTGCCCTTCACATACAAAATCCAGCTCAAAGAAAATGCACAGCCAGTTGTGCATGCTGCAAGAAGAGTTCCAGCGCCACTCAGAGATCGCTTAAAGAAAGAGCTCGACAGAATGACAATGCTCGGAGTGATAAAAAAAGTTGAGGAGCCAACAGACTGGGTTAACTCGATGGTCTGTAAAGAAGAAAAGTGGTGATTTAAGAGTGTGTATGGACCCAAAAGATCTTAATGAAAACATCAAGCGTGAACATTATCAGATACCCAAGCGTGAGGAAATCACAAGTGAAATGGCAGGTGCCAGCTTCTTCACAAAGCTTGATGCGTCTCAAGGCTTTTGGCAGCTGAAACTGGATGAAAGCAGCACCAAATATTGTACCTTTAATACACCATTCGGCAGATATTGCTTCCTCAGACTGCCCTTTGGGATCATCTCAGCATCCGAAATATTTCACAGAGCGATGGAGCACATCATTGAGGGGCTGGACGGTGTTAGAGCATATGTTGATGACATCATTGTGTGGAGCTCTACACTACAAGAACACAATGAGAGGCTGAAAAAGGTGCTGGAGCGCATACACAAGTATGGACTCAAGCTTAACAAGAGCAAATGCGAGTTTGGAGTTCAAGAAGTTGTCTTTCTCGGAGACAAGCTCTCTGCACAAGGTGTACAAGCTGACCAAGAAAAGATCAGAGCCATACAGGATATGCCAAGGCCCACAGACAAGACAGGTGTACTTCGCATTATGGGGATGGTCAACTTCATAGGTAAATTTATTCCAAACCTATCTGCAAAGACATCTTGCATCCGTGAGCTCCTGTTGACATTCTTTGACCCAACAAATAAGATTAAAGTTTCAACAGATGCTTCAAAGGATGGAATAGGCGCAGTGCTCCTACAAGTTGAAGGCGAGCATTGGAAACCAGTGGCCTATGCATCCAGGTCAATGACACAGACTGAGTGCAGATATGCTCAAATAGAAAAAGAATGTCTGGGACTGGTTTATGGATTGGAGAAATTCCACAGCTACGTGTATGGCCTACCTTCATTCACAGTAGAGACAGATCATCGTCCACTTGTATCCATCATTAAAAAGAATTTAAGTGAAATGACACCAAGGATACAGCGTCTCATGATGAAGATGCAGAGATATGACTTTGAGCTGATCTACACACCTGGAAAGCACCTGATACTTGCTGACGCTCTCTCACGAGCACCTACAGTGGGTTATGTGAGTACAACTGAAGAGGATGTGAAAAGTCATGTGAACATGGTGTCTGCTGCGCTTCCTGTATCAGACACAAAGTCCACACAGATAGCTGAAGAAACAGCAAAAGACACAGAGCTGCAGTGTGTCATTGCAAATATGCAAAATGGATGGCCTGTAGGTTCCTGTCCGCTCTTCTACCACATCAGAGGTGAACTGAGTGTCGTGGATGGACTATTACTGAAACAACACAGGATTGTCATTCCACGCGCATTGAGACAGGAAGTACTAAAAAAAATACATGAAGGTCATCTGGGTATTGAAAAATGCAAAAGACGGGTGAGAGCCAGTGTTTTCTGGCCTGGAGTAAATAAAGACATCGAGAGACTGATTGGTACGTATGACACATGCCAGACACACAGAAACAAACAGACTAAAGAGCCCATGATAGTGACTGATGTGCCAACAGCACCATGGGATAAAGTTGGAATGGATTTGTTTCATCTCAAAGGTAAAGACTATTTAGTGGTCATTGACTATTACTCAAACTTTCCTGAAATGGCACTACTATCAAACTCATCATCAACATGTGTCATAACACATTCAAAATCATTTTTTGCAAGACATGGCATACCTAACACAGTAGTGAGTGACAACGGACCGTGTTTCAACTGCAGAGAGTGGCAAGAATTTGCAGAACAGTACGACTTTAAGCATGTGACCTCAAGTCCTCATTATCCACAGTCAAATGGGAAAGCTGAAAAGGGAGTTCACATTCTCAAGCAACTTCTAAAGAAAGCTGATGAGAGTGGCTCAGACCCATACCTCGCTTTACTCAGCTACAGAGCCTCACCTCTGGAGTGTGGACTGTCACCTGCTGAACTTCTGATGAATCGTAAGTTGCGCACCACACTGCCAAGCTATTCAAAGCAAAAGAGACACCCAAAGCTGCAACACCAACTACAACAACAACAGATGAAGCAGAAAACATGGTATGACAAAACAGCTAAGCAGCTTCCATTGCTATCAAGTAATGACACAGTCAAGATTGAGGGTCCTGATGGATGGAGAACTAAAGCCACTGTTCTTCAGGAAGTAGCACCGCGATCTTTCACTGTGAGGACAGAGGAAGGAAAAATCTTCAGACGCAATCGTCGCAGTCTTATGAAAACAAAAGAAGCTGGTCAACAGCTCAGTGAATCCATCATTGAGTCTGAGTTCACACCTTCACCACAGACAGACTGTGATACTAACACTCCAAGTGAACATGTGGTCAGAAGATCTACAAGGAAAATCAGAAAACCAGATAGACTGAATCTGTAATTGAGAGACTGATTTAATGGATGTTAAAATGGTGTAAATGTTTAGACAATTTCCAAGTTTGTGCTAGTTAGCATTCTGAGTACATTTAGACCAGATGTTTATTTGTTATGGCATGGTAGAGAAATCAAAATGTTTGGTTAAAATTGATGTTGCACTATTTGTTTATATTACCTCAAAGAAAGGGGGATGTGTTGATTAGATAGATACACACTCAAGGTGTCGCCACATAGTTGTGACCTATGTTTAAATCCACATGTACGGTAAGGGACCCGAACAAGAGCTCTTGATTAAACTTGGCTAACACTTTAGAATGGAGCACGAGTCAGTTCATTAATAGACCAACAAACAAAACAGTTCTCTCACTCTGGCCAGAGTTAGGGGTATCAGAGCCAGGGGTGGGAACGCGTACAGAAGGACCAGAGGCCAGACGTGCGCGAGCGCGTCCACGCCTAACGGTGCGTTTAAATCGCGCATTGAAAAGAACAGCTGACATTGAGCATTTTCTTTTGATGCGATCAGATCTACCGCGGCTCGGCCGTAACGCACCCACAGCTGACTCACAATTATTGGATGTAGAGTCCAGTCTGCATATAGTGGTCCACCTCTGGACAGCAGATCTGCCCCGAGGTTCATCACTCCTGGTACGTGCGTCGCTCTCAGAGAGAGGAGACGTCCGCAGCTCCATAAGATCAGTTTGCGTGCTAGCATGTGTAACTGGAGAGAACGCAGACCCCCTTGGCGGTTTATATATGATATTGTGGTCGTGTTGTCTGTCCTCACGAGGACATGATGTCCTCTGAGAAAAGGCAGAAAGCATTTCAGGGTGAGGAACACCGCTAAAAGCTCCAGATTTATGTGTGACCGTTGGAGGTCTCTGCTCCAGAGACCCCTCACAGGTCGACCTTCGTATATACCCCCCCAGCCCGTCAGACATGCGTCTGTGGTGACCACCTTCCGCGATAGGACAGCACACATAGGCACGCCCCGTACTAGAAAAGTCGGGTGTAGCCAGTGGCGCAGTGCCATTACGCATTTCATAGTGACCATCACTCTCCGCGCGCCATGACGCGCGGGGTCCAATCTGAGGGCAGCTACCCAGCGCTGAAACTCCCTCATGTAAGAGTACAGTCTGGGCTGGGGACAACATGCTCTTTTCTGTGTTTATTACGAAACCCAGGTCGAGCAGTTGTTTTACGAGGACATTCGTCTGCGTAATAGCCTCTTGCTCCGACTGTGCGAGAAGGAGCCAATCGTCAGATAAGTTGCCAGGCGAATACCCTGTTGTCTTAACGGGGCTATCGCGGCTTCCGTACACTGTACAAACACTCACGGGCTGAGAGACAGACCGAAGGGAAGTACTCTGTACTCGTAACAGACACCCTGAAAGGCGAACCTCAGATATTTCCTGTGTGGGTAATATACTGGGATGTGGAAATACGCATCTTTCAGGTCGACTGATGTGAACCAGTCGTTTTTGGCGCACGAGACGCAACAGAGATGTGTGAGTGAGCATTCTGAATTTGTATCTTTTGAGATATTTGTTCAGAGCTCTCAAATCTAGTATAGGCCGAATTCCGTTCCCTCCCCGTTTGGGAACGAGGAAATACTTGGAATAAAAGCCGCTCTGACTCTGTTCGGCGGGTATTATCGATATAGCCTTCTTTTCTAGTAGCGAGAGGATCTCTTGCTCTAGAATATGGGCCGACTCTCCCCGGGCCTGTGAATACAGAATGCCCGAGAAGTGAGGGGGGGTGACAGCGAATTGGAGCCTGTAGCCCCGTGTTACTGTCTTGAAAACCCAAGCAGAATTTGTGAGCATCCTCCACTTTTCGCTTCTCAAAGCGAGCGGAGATGTCACAGCTCTGTCGTCTGCCCTCAGTGTCTCTATTTGTTGTGTTATGGGGCCCTCTAGTGTTTGAACACAGTGGTACCCCAGGTTGACAACCCCGGCCGACACTGCGCATGCTCGTGGCGGTGGTGCCTTCACAATCCCGTCTATTGTCCGCCTTTTGAGAGAGGCCGTAGCCGCTCTCAAAAGAGGGGCAGACGACAGACTGTTTATTGTTTTTCTTTTCATTTTTATTGACTGCGCCCTTGGCTTCAAGCCTGGAAACGACAGTGGAAAATGATTTATTTTGAAAATAACAATGATGACATGTGTTTGTGTGACTTAAACAGGCAGCGGAACTTGCTGTCTTTGATGTTAAGTCCATTTCCCTGATGGCGCGAACTTGAGGATGACGTTCTGGCATCACTCGAGGCCGCGGGAAGATGGGGGCATGGCGGCACCCCGAAAACACATGAGCATCCAACACTGGAACGTGCTCTGGAGCTGGGGAACAGGGAACTTCCAGCTCCTTCATCGAGGAGAGGAGAGGAGGCTGTCAGGCCGCCCGCTTCTTCTTCCTCGCCTGGTGGCTGAAAACCTGGGTCGGCTGCGCCTGAGCGGCAGCTGCCGGGACCGGAAGATTTTCTTGGCCAGCTCCCTCTTGCCTCGTGCCCGGGCTGGGGACCCGGGACGGCTGGACCCTTCGGGGGAGACAGAGCTGGAGAGCCTCGTCTCCCTTCCTTTTTGACTCGCACCTCAGCTGCATTGAAGCTAGAGCGGAGCCAAATATGCCCTCGGGAACAATAGGCATGTCCAGAACATCCTCTTTTTCCCGGTTTGGAAGGTTGGTCAGGTTAAGCCACCTGGCTCTCTCCTGTACCACCATCATTCCCAGCGCTTTGCCCGTGGCTTGGAATGCACAGCGCTGCACACGGAGGCAAATGTCCGTGATCGCTGCGATCTCGTCCCACACGGCAGGCATGTCTTCGCAAAGCTCCGCCTGGTAGGCGG